TTCAGGACCAGAGACCCTGATGTCCCACAGTCATTTCAGTCCCTGAGGGTGACATTTAAAATGTGTAAGTGTCTTATGTCACAATCTCAGCAGAACACAGAAGGAGCTGCACTGTGGTTCTAGGTTGGGGGTGGCTGCCTCTGAAATGTCCCTGGTTCTCCTTTCTGTTTTCCTGGTCAGCAGCCCCAGCCTCTCTCTGTCCACAGCAAATCTTAAGATTTGTTCCTCTGGCCACTGCAATACTGTGGCACCTCCTAATAGAACTCTCTGTTAGTTACCCGTTGATTCTTTCTGAGTACATTATCCTTTATCCTCTTCTCACATTTTATTACCTGTAGTCAAAGAAAGCAATCCTGAATGCTTGACGCTAATGAGAGATTCAGACTCCCATAAGCTTGCTGGCCTACCCTAGGTGGACTTCTACAGTCATCCATGATGTGAACGTACCTCAGCCTCTTCTGCCACGTTCTCCCTAAGATGTCCTGTGCTCCATGCTCCTGCCCTGTCCCTAATTTCTACTTGGTGTGTGTCATTCTGTCTGCCCACTGCATCCTGTGCACGGCCATTTCCTGTCCACCCTTGCATTGTCCTCCTGCGCAATATGGTTGTGCATGCCAGCACCACGGTCCACCCACCTTCTCCCGACAGATGAGCCACACGTGATCCCCAGGAAGACGTGCCCGACAGTGGGGTGAGCCCATAGTGCACATGCAGCGGTTTAGAGTTGCACACTCATGAAGGCGAGGGTGAACATGGGTGGGTCATGTCAGACGAGGATCTGCACACACACACCTCATTGGACCTGAATTTGATGAGCTTGGCCTGGGCGGGAGGATGGAAGCCTGGTCCTGTCCATGCGAGCTCTAGAGTGTGCGGTCACCGCTCCCCCAGCCAGGCCCCAGTCTGTGCTCACCAGGAAGCCCTCGAAGTCTCTGTCCTGAACCTGCGGGGGAGCACACACTCAGTAGCCCTGAGCACTGCAGACCCGCCCTGGCCTGTGCGGAGCCAGCTCTGCCTGAGCCGGAGCCTGGGCCTTGCTGCGCTGTCAGGCCCTGCCTGGCGTTCAGATGGAAGGAGCCCAGCCTCTGCGTCCGAGCAGCAGCGCAGGGGAGACACCAGCTGGGGTCCTGGAGCCCTGGGAGGGTGGAGGCCAGACCCCAGGGCCACCTCCTCATCACACCTGCAGCTGACGCGGGCTCAGCGCCCCCTGCTGGCGTAGGCTGCGTGCATGTTTGTGTCTGGGCTCCCACTGGGCTCCTCTCACTGTGTCTCTTGCACAGTAATACAGGGCCGTGTCCTCAGTTCTCAGGCTGCTCATTTGCAGGTACAGCGTGCTTTTACTGTTGTCACTGGAGATGGTGAACCGGCCCTTCACAGAGTCTGTGTACCATGTGCTACCACTATATGGATTAATTTGTGCAACCCACTCCAGCCCCTTCCCTGGAGCCTGGCGCACCCAGTGCATGTAGTAATCACTGAAGGTGAATCCGGAGGCTGCACAGGAGAGTCTCAGGGACCCCCCAGGCTGCACCAAGCCTCCCCCAGACTCCACCAGACGCACCTCACACTGCACACCTGCAAACACAGAGAATCCTGGTCAGCAATGGTCACACACATCCACTGTTCCTCCCACTCATGTCCATTTGCACACTCAGCATCCCTTGCTCCTCATATATCACCTTTCAACAGAGCAACAAGGAGAACCCAGCGCAGCCACAGCTCCATGGTGCTGGTCTGTGCTCAGTCACTGGTGGAATCAGCTCACAGAGCTCAGGTCAGGGATGGGCTGGTTTTCATGGGCAGAGGGACATCCTATTTGCATGTCCTCTGTTATAAAGCAGCTCTGGGGGGAAGTCTAGAGATTGGGCTCCCAGAGCAGAGGTGACTGTGCTGGAAGAGGTTGGTGACAATGGTCACCTTGGAGACATCATGATGCACTGACCATGTGCTGTGGTTCACACTGTACCTGCAGCTCCTTGGGAGCCTGAGGCAGAGTGTGAGAACACTGAGAGCTGTCTGGGGTGCAGAGGGACACACATGTCCTCTCACTCTGCCATTGTGCCTGGTGATCGTTCTGTCAGCATTGCTGATCACACACAAAACACAAAGTGCAACATGCCTGTGACCTCCTAGTGCACACGCAAGAGTGTAAAACAATGGTGAGTGCATTTCCACACACTGGCAGCGTCTCACGTGGTATGAATTCCATGCCTGGTCTGGACCTGCACAGCCAAGGAGGGCCCACAGTTCCTCGTGTTTTCCAGGAGAATAGTGCTCATTTGTGAGCTCTGCAGAGCCTCCTTCCTGAGCCGAGATCAGGTGTGGTTTTGTCCCTCTTTACCTCATTCTGACCTTCAAGGAAGACGGCCAGGTTTCAGGCATACGCTTGACAGTGGGCTCTGGTGTCTCAGTTGTCACTGTCTAGCTTTATTGTTTGTTTATTCTGTTTATATGCATTTATTTGTAACAATATCATTGGTGTTGTTAATCTCAATAATAATGATCTCAATAATTCACAATCCATAACAATGTGCTCATAGGTAAATGGGTATTTGGTAATTGTGGACAAATGACTCGTGTCTTCTTCAAATTGTTTTATCAACCCTTTGACAGTTTCCTTGCATCAGTCTTTCAAGTCATTGGTTGCAGTGATTCCTAGTGCTGGACAAGATGGTGAGCTGAACTTGAACAACACTTTTGTCCATGAACAAGAATCCACTGACACAAAGCTGAGCAGATTCTGAGGAAGAGAGGAAAGGAGAAGCGACAGGAAGTTCCTGGGGACCCAGGACATGGCAGAGAAGCAGTCAGGGTGGAGAAACTGTGGCACTGAGCTCTGACCTGTGTGCAGCTCTGCAGCTGGGGAAGAGAGCTGAGCCATCAGCAGGTACCATCAGGTGTGCTCACAGAGGGACTGGCAGCTCCTCCGTGGGACACACGGCTGGGGACCTCGCTGCCACCCCAGGGACTTGCAGGTGGAGACAGATCTGCTGTGAGAAGCTCTCAGTGTAAAGAGAGGCTGAGGTCGCCAGTGCTGTGAGCCAGGCAGCTGTGGTGGCTGCAGAGGGCAGGATGAAGGCTCCTCGGCCTCTGTGGATGGTCCCCATGACTGGAGACGGCTGCACTCGGCTCACTTCCTCATTTAAGCCTGTAGTCTTGGGACATCACACTGTCTCTTTGTTTCACTTACATTTATTGGTCTTGTAGGTAAACACATTTCATTCCCTAGCTGAGGATACTCTTGTTCGAGGGATTTTTAGTGCAATTGAGTCTGCATTGTCAGCCATGTTGGAACACCCCCTGAGAGACAGTCGGGCCTCCATTAGACCCCTGGAAACCCCTGGGTGGGAGGGCTTTCCTCTCTGCCCTTGCCTCTGCCCCCTGCTGAGGACTGAGAGCTCAGGTGGTCCTCCATCCCCCTCCATCCTGAGGGTGTAGACAGAGTGGAAATGACCATCAGCAGCTGCCGTGCACTGTGAAGCAGGAGTGTCCACGGAGTGGACAGCACGGGGGCTGAGGGGAAGAAGAAGGGAGGCTTCTCACCTGAGACAGGTGTGGGCATCAGGGAAGAAGGACACAGGAAGTGGCAGTGCTCCACAGGAAGCTGATGGCTGATCCCATCTCATCCACACACAGAGGAAGTCCTTCCCTCCCACACTGCGCCAGTGAGCACATGAGGAAGGGGAAACAAAGGAAGGCAGGCATGTCCAGAGGGACTGTGGGGTGCTGGGGAGGTGTCCAGAGGGACCCTGGGAATGGGAGGAGGGAGCGTCACAGGACCTGACACCCAGCTACCACCCAGCTTCTGGGGTGAGATCCAGGGCTGCTGGCCCTGAGCACCTCTGCAGCTCAGGCTCAGGGTCTGGTGGACAGTCTGAGTCAGGGCTCACACTGACGTCTCTCCCAGTGTCTCTTCCACAATAATCTATGGCTGGGACCCTCGTGGTCACCGCGCTCAGCTCATGGACATCTGGTTCTTGGTTGTGTCCTCAGACACTGTGACTTGACTCCTGAGAGACAGCTGCAGTTGAAGATGTCTCCTGTCCTTCCCAGCAGCTTCCCTGGGGCTGTGGGATCCGGTTCCATCAGTAATGACAGCACTGCCACCTCCATGGTGCAGGTAGGGGACAGAGACCATGCTGGTTGGCCAGGCCATGCTGTGGAACTCCTGCAGCTGCTGGGACAGGCCATCTGAGGACAGAGCACCTCAGGGCCGGGAATGGGGAGACACGGTGTGTTCTGAGTTTGGATGCAGCGTCCTAACAACATCCTGACCACATCCCGATGTCCTACATGCAGGAACAGCCAGCAAGGAAACAAAGGCCCACCCGGCATTCCAAGCGTCAGGAAGATATCTGTGACTCACAGGAAGTATTTCCAGGGTCTCGCAGAGGTTGAGTGTAAACAAGTGAGTATGAGCCCAGTGTCACTGGTTCATGCCTGCAAATTCAGGTACTCAGGAGCCTGGGCAGGAAAGTCCCTGAGACTTTTATCTCCCATAAACCACCAGAGAACCAGAAGTGGTGCTGTGGTTTAAGCGGTAGGGAGTGCTCTCCTTGAGTTGAAGAGCTGAGGGACAGCGCCCAGGCCCAGAGTTCAAACACCATGACAAAAAAAAAAAAAAGTGTGCAGCTAATGTCTGCTCTTCCTCTAGGAAGAGGAAGGACAGCATGGGGAAGGCCAGATGGACTCTGCTCAGGATCTCTGCAGATGGAGAGAAACCAGTGGAATTGGAGAGCAATGTGTCACCCAGCCTTGGAGCCCTTAACACCCTAGTCAGCTCTGTGGGGGACGCTGTGTCCTGTGGAGAGGCCAGGCACACAGAGGAGTCAGGGCCTGAATTCCCCAGCTACTCCTGTGACTGCCATGACCTCAGTGTGTTCAGAGCGCCCCCTGCTGGTGCTGACTGAGCATGACCTCAGTGTGTGCCCAGCGCCCCCTGCTGTTGCTGAGCTCTCTGCAGGGAGGTTTGTGTCTGGCCCACACTGGATTTCCTGCACTGTGTCTCTTGCACAGTAATAGATGGCCGTGTCCTCCACTCTCAGGCTGTTCATCTGCAGGTAAACTGTGTTCTTGCTGTTGTCTGTGGAGATGGTGAAGCGGCCCTTCACGGAGTCTGCATACTTTATGTAACTATTATCACCATAGATGGATGAAATCCACTCCAGCCGCTTCCCTGGAGCCTGGCGGACCCAGCTCATGCCATAGTGACTGAAGGTGAATTCAGAGGCCACACAGGAGAGTCTCAGGGACCCCCCAGGCTGCACCAAGCCTCCCCCAGACTCCACCAGCTGCACCTCACACTGCACACCTGCAAACACAGAGAATCCTGGTCAGCAATAGTCACACACATCCACTGTTCCTCCCATTCATGTCCATTTGCACACTCAGTATCCCTTGCTCCCCATTAGTCACCTTTCAACAGAGTAACAAGGAGAACCCAGCGCAGCCCCAGCTCCATGGTGGTTGTCTGTGCTCAGTCACTGGTGGAATCAGCTCACAGAGCTCAGGTCAGGGATGGGCTGGTTTTCATGGGCAGAGGGATGTCCTATTTGCATGTCCTCTGCTATAAAGCAGCTCTGGGGGGAAGTCTAGAGATTGGGCTCCCAGAGCAGGGGTGACTGTGCTGGAGGAGTTTGGTGACAATGGTCACCTTGGAGACATCATGACGCACTGACCATGTGCTGTGGGTCACACTGTACCTGCAGGTCCTTGGGAGCCTGAGGCAGAGTGTGAGAACACTGACAGCTGTCTGGGGTGCAGAGGGACACACATGTCCTCTCACTCTGCCATTGTGCCTGGTGATCGTTCTGTCAGCATTGCTGATCACACACAAAACACAATATGCAACAAGCCTGTGACCTCCTTGTGCACATGCAAGAGTGTAAAACAATGGTGAATTTTTTCCACACTGGCAGCGTCTCACGTGTTAAGAGCTGCATGCCTGGTCTGGGCCTGCACAGCCAAGGAGGGCCTACAATTCCTGGTGTGTTCCAGGAGAATGATGCTTTTCTGTGAGCTCTGCAGAGCCTCCTTCCTGAGCTGAGATCAGGTGTGGCTTTGCCGCACTTTTCTTCATTCTGACCATCAACCAAGTTGGCCTGGATTCAGGCAGATGCTTGATAGTGGGCTCTGGTATATCATTTGTCACTGTCAATCTTTGTTGTTTGTTTTTGTCAGTCATACGTATTGTACATTTGTGACAATTTCACATATATTGTATATTGTCATAACTTCAGTGAGTGACTACATGTAACATGCACTGCTCATAGGAAAACATTGATTTGATAACTTGATAAAATATTTGGGTCTTCTTCACATTGTTTTATCAATCATTTGATTCCTTATTTCATGCAATTTTGTACCCAACTTCCAACTTCCATATATCCTGTCTTCCCTCCATCCTTCCTCATTCTCTAGTAACCAACACTTCCTTTTCTGTTCTGTGCAGTCTATTTCTTCTAGACATAATGTGACACTGGTGTTTCTATGGTTGGTTTATTTCCTTTAAGCTAACTTCCTTTAGGTCTATCACAAATGACAGTCTTTCTTCCTTTCTGTGTGAGTACTATTCCATTGTCCACACCTATCCCATTTCCTTTATCTGTTCTTCTCTTGTTGGACCTTTATTTAATCTCGGGCCCTTCCTCAAATTAATGTGTAAAAAATACCCACAAAACAACATAAAACTTTGAAGTTTGCATTCTCAGCAGAAGAAAACTTCCCCACACTCTACCAGAAGACCAGCATTTATATTCTTCCATGTTTGTGATAACAGTCATACTGACTTAGGTGAGGTGATATTTCACTTTGGGATTGATTTGCATTTCATTGATATTAGCATATTATCTTGTACTTTAATATTTCTCTTTTTGTTGTCAGTCCTGGGGCTTAAACTCTGGGCTTGGGCGCTGTCCCTGAGCTCCTCAGCTCAAGGCAGGAGTTCTACTGCTTGAGCCACAGTTGCACTTCCGATTTTCTAATGCTTTCTTGGAGATCAGAGTCTCACAGACTTTCCTGCCTGAGCTTGCTTTGAACCACGATCCTCAGATCTCACCCTTCTGAGTAGCTAGGATTAAAGAGGAGAGCCACCAGCACCTGGATTATTTATCTTTTTAAAGAACTCGCAATGCAGGTCTTCTTATCAGTATTTCACTGGGTTCTAGATTTGTCTTTTGTTGTTTCCTTGAGACCTTTGTTTCCATGATACAACATGGATAGTAAATCATTTTACAGACATTATCACTACTATCCTTATAATGAAGCTTTACTCTTTTGACATTATTTCATGTTGCTGAAGCGGTGTTTCCCAGCAATCTCTTTGTGCCTTTACATCTTTATTTTACGCTGTTGCTGTCATATGGCGTATGAGTGCAGTCACAGGAATGAGCGTGTAGTCTACATTTTAACGTCAGACTCTGGCAGCACCAAGTTCACTTCTCTCCCTTCCCTGTGTGTCACTGGTGGACATGGATTAAGGGAGTGCTGGTTCTCCCCTCTCATGCATTCAGTGAGCGGTTCTGACCTGCTGTGTGTGCAGAGGAGGAACTCACCTTCCTCTGCCCCAGGCTGAGGTGAAAACTGAAGAGCCTGATCTTTCTAGGCTCTCCCAAGTAATTTCACAGTTTCCTGAGAGGCTTCTCTGGTCTTTCTGTAATGTCACCAACCATTTCCTCCCCTCTGTATGTACCTGTGTGGGATTATCAGACACGACATCCACACTGAATGTTGGTTTTGTCTCCGTCTTTGCCTTGCACCATATGGATTGTGGCCTTAGAAAGAATGTTGCCACCACGGAATCTGTCCTGAGCTTCGAAGGGTCCTCTGCTCCCACAGACTCATCAGTGATGGGCCCAGGATCAAGCAGCGACCAGACCCAGAACTGTGGCTGAGAATCCCATCCAACCTCGTCATCTACAGCATGTGTACAAAGGGACGGAGGCAGAGGAGCTGGTGGGGGTCACTGGGCCTCTGCAGGTAGCCACAGCTCAGCGGTGCCCACGACTCGGCTCTGTGGGTCACAGAGCAGCCCCCGGTCCTGACCGATGGCCTCTCACATGTCACCAGCAAGAGGAAAGGGGACAACGGGATCAAAGCCGGGCTGGATGCCTGGGCTGTGTGAGCAGAATGGTGGGCCTTGAAATCCATCAGTGACATGGAGGCCCTGGCTCTGCACAACATCCCGTGCACTCCGACCTAAGGATAAAGACTGACCTAGCCAGGGAGTCCACTTTGTCTCTCCCGAGTCTGAGAGGAAAGGACTGAGCAGGGTTCTTGACCTTCCTCAGATTTGACCCCAGTGATCTCAGCTGTGTCCACCGACCGTGCATGGTGCTGTGTCTGGTCCTCTCAAGGATGCATCATCAACCACAACAGAACCACGACAATGGAAGATGGAAAAAGCTGTGTGCTGAGGGGTTGGAGAACAGTAAGAATATAGTAGACAGCTCTGTGGGGCACACTGCGTCCTGTGGAGAGGCCAGGTACACAGAGGAGTCAGGGCCTGAGTGCTCCACAGCTGTTCCTGTGATTGCCATGACCTCTGTGTGTGCCGAGCGCCCCCTGCTGGTGCTCAATGAGCATGACCTCAGTGTGTGCTGAGCGCCCCCTGCTGGTGCTGAGCACCCTGCAGGGAGGTTTGTGTTTGGATTTCCTGCACTGTGTGTCTGTAGCACAGTAATAGACGGCCATGTGCTCCACTCTCAGGCTGTTCATCTGCAGGTAAAGTTTGTTCTTGCTGTTGTCTTTGGAGATGGTGAAGCGGCCTTTCACAGAGTCTGTGTACTGTATGTTACTACTACCATAAATGGATGAAACCCACTGAAGCCCCTTCCCTGGCCTGGCGGAGCCAGTTCATCCAATAACCACTGAAGGTAAATCCGGACACTGCACAGGAGAGTCTCAGGGGCTCCCCAGGCTGCACCAAGCCTCCCCCAGACTCCACCAGCTGCACCTCACACTGCACACCTTCAAATACAGAGAATTCAGGTCAGCAATTGTCACACACATCCACGGTTCTTCCTACTCAGCTCCACTCACACACCCAGTGTCCCTTCTTCTCTGCAAATTACCTTGTAAAATGGCCACAAGGAAAACCCAGGTCAGAGCCCCCTCCATAGTGGAGGTCAGTGCCCAGTGCTGATCTCAGGATGGAACCCCTGGAAGTCAGGCCTGACCTGCAGAACTGCAGCTTTTCATGAGCAGAGGGAAGCCCCATTTGCATGTCCTCTTGGTATATAGCCAGCTCTGGGGTGGAATCTGAGCAAAGGCAGTGCAGAGAAGACAGGAGAATCAGGAAGTCAGCAGTGACAATGATCACATGGAAGAGAACACAGACCTCATCCCACAGCAGAGGGAATGCTTTAGGAGATCTCATCTTACTGCATTTTACACAGCACAGTCAGTCATCAATCACATTAGGTGTCATGATGTGTGCATGTGTCACATTGTTTGGTGGTATGAATTTGTAATTGAAGAGTCTCTTGATTGCTAGAGAGGTGCACTGCCCCTTGAGCTGTGTGTCCAGCCACTTTTGCTGTATTTTGCTTTAGTGATTTTGGGATATGGCCATGCATTTTTCCTGGTGGTATGGGCACTGTTCTCCTATCTGTGCTTTCTGTGCAGCTGAATGGATTGCTGTGAATGACTGTGTTTATCTCTGGGCTGACACTGTGTCTCTGGGACTGGCTCCTGTCATTCCTGCCAGTCTCCCTACCGAGCAGGGGCAACCAACCCATCTGACCATTTTGTCACTTTTAAACTATGGAAATGCACTTATTTCATTTGCTGCAAACTTGATCAGCTTACCACATAGAGGACTTGTTTATAACATTTCATAAGCACCGCAGCACAGGGAAATCTGCTTCACCAGTAGCAGAGTCAGGAAATGGGGCATTCATCCGGAAGCAAGTTCTTGGCTTCCCTTCTACCCCTCCTCCCACCAGCAGTGGTTGTGGGTTAAGGAAGGCTGTGTGCTTCCTACTGAAAATATGCTAAGGGTATCATTTTAGGGTTGTCGTTTTATGTTCACTTTTCATCTACTTTTTTTTTTGGTATTTGGGTTTGAAATCTCAGCCTTGTGTTTGCTCAGCACGCTCTCTACCATGTCTTCAGCTCCTTTGACTCCATGCTGTTTCTCACATAGGGTGAAATGACTTTGTCCAGGGCTGGCCTCATGCTGTTATCTTCCTAGGATGCCCATTATATTTGAGTTTACAGGTGTGGGCCCCATGCCTGGATTATTAGGAAATACGGTCTCATCAACTTCTTGTGCAGGCTGGCCTCAATCCATAGTTTGCTGGATGTTTTCCCCTGCATAGCCACCAAGTTCAGCTCAGTGGTGTCTTAGTCCATTCTTGGTGGTATAAACATATCCCCGATGGGGAAACCTATACAGGGTGAGGATTTGTTTATTATAGTCTGGGTGTCAAGGTGCTCAAGGTCAAGCACTTTGCTGTCTGCTTTGGTCTGTTTTTCTGGTTCCTAGGTTGGATAC